AGCACCCAATACGGCCGACACGGGGTCCAAGACCGCCCGAAGACGGCCCACGAGGCTCTGAAAGAGGCCCCACGAAGGCTCAAGAGAGCTCGAAAGCTCCAAGACGGTCCAAAAGGCGCCCCAGATGGCCAACGAGACCACAAGAGAGACCCTTGAAGAGGAGCTCGAACTCAAATGTCGAGCCCCCCGCCCAAAGAGGACCCCGGAGCCTCCCGGAGCCCAAGAAGCCAAGACATATGTCCCCAAAACGGCCTCCAAGAGGCCCCGACGTGCTTTCAAAAGGTTCCCGAGGGGCCTTCCAAAAGGTTCCAACAGGCTTCAAGAGGCATCTCCCCAAGACCCAAGACAAGCCAAGAGGGCCCCAAGGCGGCACTAGAGACCACCATGAATAGCCCAAGGGGCGTCCAAGCCGGCCCCACGATGAGCCCAACAGGTGAAACACGAAGGCGCTTTCCGAGCCGACCACCCCGAGATGGCCCAAAGAGCCCCCAAAAGGCCTCCGAGAGGTACCTAATAGGCCACAAGAGGCCCCAAGAAGCGCCCAATCTCATAGGCGCGTACAAGTCAAACGCGGCAAACTTAGTAAAGTTGCGCAGCTGGCAACAGTCAGGAGGAAAAAAACACACACAGACACAAGTAATCGTCGACTCCCGGGAAAATATGGGGAATCCTTTTATTTGTGTGTATTTAGTTGTGCGTCCCAGGGCCCCTTCAGTAAAGTTGCGCAGCTGGCAACAGAGGTGTAAAAACATCGGGCATGCAAATGAGCGCGCGCGCGCGTGCTCGCCCAGAGGCCAGTTGCCGCTGTGTTCTTGCGGCGAGCGCGGGAGTTGGGAACCTGCCAGCCTGTATGAGTACGAGGAGGTCACGACCTTAGTGGGCCCTGGAAACGACAGGGCCGTTTTTTTACCGGCTCCGTTTTGCCGTTTTTTCGCCGGTTCCGACGCCGTTGTTTTACCGGTTCCGCCGCCGTTTTTTGACCGGTTCCGGTTCCGGCTCCGGTTCCAATCCTGGAGCCGTTTTTTCGCAGTTTCTGGTCACCGTTTTTTTGCCGTTTCCATTGTCAAGGGACATTTTTTTGGAAACGTTGAAAAAACGGCCTTGCCGTTTCCGGGGCCCACAAAGGTCACGACGTTTCTTCCACCACGCTGAGGGCAAACGGAGGCCAGGGGAGCAAAGGAATGAGGGGCCGAGGGAGGATGCACGCAGGGTCGGGGGAGCAAGGGACAGCGGCGCCCAGGGCGCACTCCTTGAGGTCCCAAACCGCAAGGCGCGGGCGCCGACACAAGGCGCCCACGATCGCCGCTGCACAAAAAACAAAACAAAGCAGTTGACCAAGAGAGCAGCTCAAAAAACCGCCCCCTCCGGAAACAAAAGCATGATGTAACATAGGACGCAGACATTCGGGATCGCAGTTCACGGATGTGTTTTTGTTATTCTAGTTCTTCAGCATTTCTTGATTCGGGTTGTTTGGGAGTCATCTTGGGCCGTGTGGGTGGTATTATTGTGCCCTCTGTCAGGGCCTTCTCTGCCGTATGGGGACTGTCTTGGGCCATCTTGGGCCGACTTGAACGTCCTGGAGGCCCTCTCGGAGCCATCTTGGACGGCGATGGGGTGCACCTTGTGTGCGGTATTCCGTGTGGTTGGTTGGATCGGCCGAGACCCCTATTGGGAACCTTTTCCAAGGGCCAATGCAGTCAGAACGTTGGCACGCCAACAACAGTTCTTGTAAGCAGCACAGGGGGTGCGGATCTATTTGCCTTCGGCCGATCCCGCCACCGTGCTTGGGTTGGGGGCGGGAGTGCTCTTGGATGCATCTTGGGATCTCTCGGGGTGGTTCTGGGGAACCTCTTGGGGTTATCTTGGAGGTCTCGCATCTTGGGGCCTACCGGGTTCCTCGTGGTGACGTTTCGGCGGTCTCTCGGGGGCTCGTGAGGGCACGTTGGGAATTTGGGCTCCATCTTGAGGCGAAAGGCTCCCGATGTTCTTTCGTAGTGCTATCCTCCGGGGCCGAACAGCTTGAACAACACGATGTTGTTCAATGAAGTTTGACCTCGGAGAGGGACACGCTGCGATCCCCAGGAAGCCATGCGCAACGTCCCGAGGAATCCATGAGTTGGGGATTAGGGCCCCTCACGAGACGTAGAGTACATACTCACTACAGTGATCCCGAAGCGACCTGAGGAGACCCCACTCAGTGATGACGTCACGGTGGCGGAAATAGTTGAAGTAGATCATGATGAGTTGCGTCCGAGGAACTCGTGGTAATCATGATAGGTTGCGTCGGCATCAAGTTGACTCAGGGTTGTCATAGTTACATCTCTCGCGCCAGCAATTAATTATATAGGCTTGCGCCACACCCGCCGACCCGTTGTTGTTGTACAGCTTTTACCTATACGACCACCCTTCGGGTGATAAGGAGGTTGTTGGGTGGGGGAGAGGGGGGGCAACCAACATCTGACTCAATCGATCTCACTATCGATTTCACTCAACGGGACACCACGGGACACTTGTCGATCGCATTATCGATCTCACAATCGATCTCATTCAACGGGACACCACGGGACACCACGGGACATAGCGGGACACCTCTCGATCTCATTATCGGTCTCACTATCGATCTCACTATCGATTTCACTCAACGGAACACCATAGAACACACCTCGGGACGCCACATCGATCTCATTATCGATGTCACTATCGATCTCACTCAACGGGACACCACGGGACACCACGGGGCACCTGTCGATCTCACAATCGATCTCAGTGTCGATTTCACTTTTGGGGGCACCACAGGACACCACGGGGCACCTCGGGGCACCGCATCGATCTCAGTATCGATCTCACTATCGATCTCACTCAACGGGACACCAAAGGACACCACGGGACACTTGTCGATTCCATTATCGATGTCACTATCGATCTCACTCTTCGGGACACCACGGGACACCGCGGGATACCTGTCGATCTCACTATCGGCCTCACTATCGATCCCACTATCGATCTCACCAAACGGGACACCATAGAACACCACGGGACACCTCGGGACGCCACATCGATCTCACTATCGAGTTCACTATCGATCTCACTCAACGGGACACCACGGGACACCACGGGACACTTGTCGATCGCACTATCGATCTCATTATCGTTCTCATCTTTTGGGACACCACAGGACACCACGGGGCGCCACATCGATCTTACTATCGGTCTCACTATCGAGTTCACTATCGATCTCACTCAACGGGACACCACGGGACACCACGATCTCACTATCGATCTCACTTTTTGTGACACCACGGGACACCACGGGGCACCACATCGATCTCATTATCGATCTCTTATTGATCTCACTCAACGGGACACCACGGGACACCGCGGGACACCGCGAGCCACCGCCAGACGGACGGACGGGCGGTTGGGGGAGAGTCATTTGTGTGAATTTCGCCCTAGCAATGGCGGACACCACGGGACATCACGGGACACCGCGGGACACCGCCAGACGGCGGGAAGGAGGATAATACATTGTCTTGATTTGGCCCAGCAGCGGCGGGTTTATTCCTCTCGCGCGCCCACGCAGCTTCGCGTCGCCCGCACGAATGACACGAACGAAACGAAACGATTTCCCGGTTGGGGGTCTCCGTTCCACTGCGATCTCACCCCCCAACCTCCGATCGCCGTCTGTGGTGGACGGCTTCACGGCGGCGGTACTTGGTTTCATGAGTAGGGTGCTTTGGACTAATCGTGGCTTCGGGGTCGTATGTGCGAAGTGCATTGCCGTCGGCTTCACGGCTCGCAATTGGCAAGCGTACGAGTGCTTCGGCGCTTGCAAGAGGAAGCTCCCCAAATCTCAGTTCGCGGGTGGTCCGAATGTCGCGCGTGCCCACCAGAACCGCAGGTTGAAGTGCAAGGCCTGCGCGTGAGCCCCGTGACAGCGGTTGTGGCAGCGCGCGAGTGGTCGGGGCCGCCAGGGGGAACAGGGCGAGGAGGGAATGATAGAAAGGGAGGGAATTGGTCGATGTTTCGGTGAGGGGGCCAGGGGAAAGAAATGACTATTGAGGCGGAGGATCGGACTGCCTGGGGGGGCATTGTCGCTGCGGCTGGACTCCAGGACAGCGTCTCGTGGCCTTCGGCCCATCCAGCCGCTGCCTGCGCCTGTGCTGTGGGCATGAAGCCTCGGGGCCATCCGTTGGGATCTCGCGGGGAGGCTTCGCGCGAGCCTCGTGGGGGCAGGCTCGAAGGCTCTCGGGGGGCCGTTTTGGGGCATCTTTTGGGGCTTTTGGGGGCCTTTGGGAGCTTTTGAATGCCTTTTGGAGGCCTCTTGGGCCCTCTCGGGGGCCTCTTCGGGCTTTGTGAGAATCTCCTCTTCGGGTGCAAAATCTGCAGTTTCGGTTCGAGGTTCCCGTTCCGGGGCCTTGTCTGGGGCATGCTGGGGGGGGGGGCACTGCTGGGCCGTCTTAGGCGCCTCTGGGGCCGGCTTGGAGCCCTCTGGGGCCGTCTTGGGGGATTCGCGGAAGGGTTTGGGGCCGTCGTGTGGCGGTTCTGGGTGCCTCTTGGATGTTCGCCAACGCCGCGCAGGCCGAAAAGTCGTATATTCTAGAAATGTCTGCTCCCCGATGGGATTTTACGATTTGAGTTTTTTTTTGCATCCTGGGGGACCTCGTGGAGGTCCCGTGGGGTGTCTTCGCGGCTTCTTGGGCATCTTGGACCGATCATTCGGCGAGTCTGGGCTCTCTTGGACCGTCTTGGGGGTGTCTTGGGAGGCTTGACGGGGTGTCTTGGAGCTCCAGACCGAGCTTGCGGAGCCCGGGCCATCCCCGATGATTTCGGGGGTGGGCCGTCCGAGGCCCGGGGGGGAGGGCAAATTGCCGGCTTGGGGTCCCCGGGGGGGGGGTTAGGCGGGGGAAAATTTCACACGCCTGGAGACCCACACGGGGTCGGTAGATTTGCAAACAGTGGCTGAGCTGCGCTGGCGTCGCCTGCCTTGGATTGCCCCGCAGGTACTCGGCTGCAGTAGAGCAGATCGAGTCCCTCAAGGAAGAAAAGGGCAAGGCCGCAACCATATTTCTTGCAATTCCAGCAGGGGGACGCATCGAAGTGCCTGGCACTTGCCGCATTCAAACGTTCGGATGTCTGACCAGGTTGGCAGGTCTTGTTGCTTCCACATCGCGCAGTCATTTGGCCTCTGCTGTGCGGGGGGGGGCGTCTGGATTCGCAAGCAGCAAACAGAGTGTCTAGCTGTTGGTTGTTATCCCTTAGACGCCAATCCGATTTCTCACATTCTGGGCACCTCGCGTATCGCCGCCTGTCCATGCAGAACCGATTTCTCTGGCGAGCTGCCATGAGTTGGGATGCGGAGGACCATTTGGTGCAACAGAGGGGTGGGGGGGAGAGGACATCCGTCACGCCAAGTTCGGAACAGCCCGATTGGCGGCCAACGTTTCAAATTCTGTGACCTTTGGGGGCTTCCTGGACATTTCGTGGAGTCATCTTGGGTCTTCTTGGGGCCCTCCCTAGATATTTGGGCAGTTTCGGTCTCTATTGAGGCCCTTCCGATGCTTCTCGGGCCTTCGAGGGGCTCACCTGGGGTGGTATCGGCTTACGAACATGGTGCGCGCAGTGAGTCTTCCGTTTCCGAGCTCGGTCCCGCAGGCAAATTGGAAGGGAAAAGACGAGAAGGCAACAGACACATCAAATGACATGCTGCTGTTCTGCGTGGTTTTGCTTCTCATTTGGCATCCTTGGGATAGGGCGCGTCTTGGAGCCTCTTGGAGTCAATATGGACGCCATCGTGAACCATGTTGCCCGATCTTGGAAGCCATCTTGCGCTATCCAGGGCGATAGTGGAGCCATCTGTGGCAAAACCAGACCCCTCGACGACTCGCGAATCAAGGGTCTAGCCTCCTAGTAGGGAGGGGGCAGAGGAAGGGTACCTTCCCCAAAGGGGCAGGAGGGTTTGGTTGTTTTGGCAGAGCTCATGGTCTGAATCACCTAGCCCCAGAGGGCTGGTGGAATCACGCTCTCGCCTCAGCGTTGGCCACGTTCGTTGTGGTGACCAGGGGCGGACGGACCCGCAAATAGCCAACAGGGTCTCTCCACCTGGTCTCTCTTTGGTCGGAATGGATTCCTTGCATCAGTGTTGGTCCCATTCTGGTGACTGGAGGCGGGCGATTGGAGTCACAGATAGCTAACAGGTGTCACGCTTGACTCGTATTGGCCGAGCTGCGTTCTGCGTCACACACGCGCCCTGGGGCATCTCCTCCTCCCATCCCTCCATGTTCATATGAGGCTCCAGGCTCCAGGCTGAGCGAGCACAGAGGAGTAACATCCTCCAGTGAAGGATGCTGTCGGTTTTCAGCCGTGTTACAGCACGTTAGGCTCACAGACTCCTCATCTTCATCCTCCTCCTCCTTCTCCTCCTCCTCTGGCGGCGGATGCGTGTTCGCCCGCGCCGCTCGGAGCTCTGTGATCAGTAGCCGGCGTACTTCTATCGCCGTCCCTCACACGGAACGGTTCAACCAGGAGCGACGCGCAAACGACGGCCGTTCCCGGAGGCAGGGGTGCGCCGGCCAGTCAAGGGAGGAAAAAAACACCCACCCAGACCCCGATAGTTGGTGTTATTATTGAACGGCCCTGGGCGTTTACGGAGCAGCCCTGCACTGTTCGGTTCCTTCCTTGGGCGCGTTTACTACACGGCCTCGCTTGTCGGGGTGCTTATTATGTGACGAACCAACAACACACACCCATACCCATATTGGGGTCGGAGAGGGCTATGGGTGCGTGTTGTCGGATGGGGGTCCCCGTTAGAACGGGAGCGTTCCCCCGGGTCCGACAACCCGCACCCATACCCATAGCCAGTCCTCCTCCCGACGACCCCCCTATGGGTATGGGTATGTGTTGTTCGTTCGTCATATTAGGAGGGGGGAGTTTCTGCCCTCTGGCCAGGGCCCGAGCCAGTGCTTCCGGGGAGCGCGCAGGCGACTGCGAGCACCCGCCGTCCAGCGGCGCCCTCCGGGGCGGCAGCGCAGCAGCGCCAGCCAGCAGCCTCCTCCTCCTCCTCCTCCTCTTCCTCCTCCGCCTCCTCCTCCTCCGCCTCCTCCTTTGACGTTCGGCGAACTTCCATCGACAGACTGTAGCGCTCCTGCCTCTCCCTCCTCCTCCTCCCCCTCCTCCCCCTCCTCCTCCTCCTCCTCCTCCTCCTCCTCCTCCTCCTCCTCCTCCTCCTCCTCCTCCACGTCCTCCTCATTCTCTTACCCACTCCCTGCGCCTCCACCATCCCTCCCTCTCCCTCTGCTGCTCCGTCCGCCCATTACGCCCCCTTCATCCCTCCTGGCCCCTCCGCGCTGCTCCTCAGGTGCCTGCTGGCCAGCCCGCTGGCGGACCCGGCGCGCTTCGTTCCGCTCCGCTCACCCCCTGGAGGCCCCAGCAGGCCTCCGAAGATTGCCTGCGCGGCCCGGCTGCGCACGGCGCGCACCCAGAGCGCCCAAATCCTCCGCCCTCCGCCTCCTCCTTCCTCTCCTCCACCTCCTCAGGTTCTCCTCCTCCCTAGACCCTCGACCCTCCTCCGCCCTCGATCTCCCCGCCCCACAGTGTGATCAGATAATGTCTGCCCCCCTTGAGCGTGTAGGGAACACTATCGAAGGGCAACTTCTTGCCGCCTTGCCTGTCTTTGGTGTGATCACCTTCCGACCTTTCCAGGGCGCTGTCTTCTCTTGCCTTGCCTCTCGATCCTCCATCGATCCCCCATCGATCCCCCATCGATCCTCCATCTCCCTCCCTGGCCCCCTCCTGGCCGAGGCGTCTGCGGAGCTCCACGAGCTGAAGGAGCGGTTCCGGGAGGAGCGCCGGGACAAGGAGCAGGCCGTCCAGCCGCCCCTGGGGAGGATCGGGCGGGTGGCCTTGTCGGCGGCCAGCATTCACCGAGCGCGCTCCACTGCTCGCAGAGTGCTCACTCGCAGATGTTCGACAGAGATGTCGTCGCCTCGATGTAGTATCATCGTGAACCCCCCGCGGCGGATCGAGGCCATCTGCGAGCAGTTGCTCTGCGAGCCGTGGAACGCGCTTGTCGATACATATGGGGGGTGGAGCAGAGTGCCCTACAGCGCCCCTCCTGGGGCGCTTCTCTTCCCCCCGAATGTCGGCCACCCCACGACCACAAGCCCGAGAGGGAGGCCTGGGGTTCAGTCGGGCGTGTCCCCCTACAGGAATACAAACATACCCCCAAAAATATTCCAAAGTGGTCAAAACATATTCAAAGAATGGTCCCTAGATTATTTTTACTATGTTTGAATATTCCTCCTGTAGAGGGACAGGCCCGACTTAAGCCTGGGGCCCCTCCGCTGTCGGCGGACGGGAAGAGGCTTCGGGTTTCGAGGTTTTCGGGCGTGCTCGTCGCTTCTCGGCGGGTTTTGCTTTTGCCTCGGGATGCAGTTGCACTTCGGCGAGGCGTTCCCTGGGTGGCCCAGATCGCTCCGACTGGCCGCCAGAGGCCCGAGTTCTTACCCGAAAGCCAGGGGTCGAGGATCATTCGGGTCGGACGAAGCGAGGGGGTGGTAGTGGAGGGGGGGCAAACTACAAAGTCTGCTGGATGCAGCTGGTCTCGGCCCCGCATCTGGGCACTCTCATCGATACACTGGCGCCTCCGGCGCCGAAAGGCGCCAGAGAAATCAGCTGCGTGGGGTGATACGCTAAACCGCCTTTGCTGGATGCTCACACGTCCTTCTTCCAGGGACCGTTTAGAGCGATGGTCCTCGAAGCCCACTTCGGTCCCTGCCCCACCTATACGTCTCCCAGATTGCAGAAAAATAGGCTCTCGAATAATTGGCCGTGCGATTTCATGCGCACGGGATCCACCCTGGAGCGGCGTCGAGGGTCTCGTCCAGCCCGCCCCCCCCCTGGTCCCACGAGCCTCCACATCCATTTCCTTTCCGCTTTCCGGGCACGCGGGAGTTGGAAGCATGCAGCTCCTCCTCCACCTCCTCCTCCTCCTCCTCCTCTTCCTCCTCCATTCTTTCTCCTTGCGCTAATTAGCTCCTCCTGTCGCACCGAGAGGCTAGTTTTTCAGGTGGGCCAGGCGTTTCGCCTGAGACTTCCACACCAATTATGACCCTGAAGCTCAAGTATTGGCAACAGTTTCACATATGGAGGGCGGGACGTTTTCCAAATATGGCTTTCGCTTTAGCGCCGCGCACATTCGTTTTAGATTCGTTTTAAACGTTGGTACAGTTTCACGGATTGAGGGCGGCTCCTTTTCAAAAGGGAGTCCCCGCCTTAGCGCCACGCGCAGTCTTTTTAAACATGTACCAGATTTTCACGGATGGAGGGCGGGTCCCGGGTCGTTATCAAAATTTGTTTCTCGCCTCAGCGCCGCGCATAGTCCTTTCAGACATCGCAAGAGTTTCACGGATTGAGGGCGATTCCTTTCCAACATGTGGTAAACGTTTTAGTGCCGCGCACTTGTCTCTTAAAGCATGCAAGAGTTCCATGGGCTTCCATGATCAGCATACAAGAAATGGTGTTTTGGAAGGATGCAGGATTATGAGGGTGCAACAGTTACAGCGTTTCGCGGTGTTGAAGTCCCAGGAACGGCTTTCTGGCACGATTCAGGATCGGCAAGACGCACCAGTCAGGTTGATCCGTGGTGTTGGAATCCCGATAACAATATTTTGGCATACTTCAGGGTCTTCATACGGTTGTCTTCCAGCGAGGCACTTCCCTCGGTGGAAATGAACCGTTATAGGGACCTGTGAAGAGGGAGTTCTCAAGGAGGTTGTATTCCATCGTTGATGACTCTCGGGTTTACGCTGGTCCTCCTCCTGCTCATCCTCCTCTTCTCTCTCCTCGAGGATCGCGTTCGAGGATTGTTCCCCACATGCTTAGTGGGGCTCTGGTTTTCTTCCTTGCCGTGTCGCACCCGCGAGGCTCACCTCCCTCCTCCCCTCCTCCTCCTCCTCCTCCTCCTCCTCCTCCTCCTCCTCCTCGTACTTCCTCCCCTCACCCGCGCGTAACGCATGCACGACGCGTACATGAAACACGCGTCTACATGCCGCCGCACGCACGCACGCATTCGCAGACACGAACACACAGACACACACACACACAAACGAACATTCACACACACACACGCTAACAACGCCAGTGCACGCTTGGCGTGTTCACTGCGTCGTGCTCCCACGACGCATGCGCCACATTCTGGGCACCCACGTGAGACACAAGCCTCGATAAAGTCGCGCACGCATCATACACATGACACAGGTTGGGCACCCACATGAGACACACGCCCAGATACAGCCGCACACGCATCATACACATGACACGCACATCACGCAGCACACGCGCGCAAGATCCGCAAGGCGTGGTAGGCGTGGCACTTTCTCGACACCAGAGGGGGTGCGTAGGGGGTGGCCCCTCACCGCGGTTTCTATCCGTCCCAAGGTCGCGGGGCGTGGCAGGCGTGGCACTTTCTCCACACCACAAGGGTTGCATAGGGGGTGGTGCCTCAACGCGGTCTCTATCCGTCCCAGGGTCGCGGGTCGTGGCAGGCGTGGCACTTTCTTTACGCCACAGGGGATGCGTAGGGGGTGGTCCCTCACCGCGGTCTCTATCCGTCCCAGGGTCGCGGGTCGTGGCAGGCGTGGCACTTGCTCCACACGACACGGGGTGCGCAGAGGGCGGTCCCTCACCGCGGTCTCTATCCGTCCCAGGGTCGCGGGGCGTGGCAGGCGTGGCATTGTCTCCACACCACAAGGGGGTGCGTAGGGGTGGTCCCTCACCGCGGTCTCTTTCCGTCCCAGGGTCGCGGGGCATGGCAGGCGTGGCATTGTCTCCACACCACAAGGTGCGCGCAGGGGGTGGTCCCTCACCGCGGTCTCTATCCGTCCCAGGGTCGCGGAAGGTGGCAGGCGTGGCATTCTCTCCACACCACAGGGGGCACGCAGGGGGTGGTGCTTCACATCGGTCTCTATCCGTCCCAGGGTCGCGGGGCGTGGCAGGCGTGGCCCTTTCTTTACGCCACAGGAGTTGCGCAAGGGGTGGTCCCTCACCGCGGTCTCTATCAATCCCAGGGTCGCGCGGCGTGGCAGGCGTGGCATGTTCTCCACGCCACGGGGGGTGCGCATGGGGGCAGGGCTCACCGTTGCATTCCATCAGTTGCACTAGCAGAGGTTTGCACAGCATCCAGATCTGTAAACTCTTTGGCTCAGGCCGGCTCTGAGCGCCAGGGTACCCCATCGAAGGTCGCAATTGTTTGTTTTCGCCAGCATTGTTGTCATCATCATTGCCACCATCATCATCATCATCAGCATCATCAGCATCATCAGCATCTTCATCATCATCATCATCATCATCATCATCATCATCATCATCGCCACCGTCATTGCCACCGTCCTTGCCAAAGCATGACAGGCATCACCAATGGCATCGGCGGGACAACAGCCACCAACATCATGTTCGCATGTTTGACTTCAGCTATCATCTGCCAGACATATTGTGCGTATGTGGGATTCCTCGGTAGCGTAATTCAGGTTGGCGTTCTGTGACCCGTTTGTGGTTTGTGGAGGCCGCGTAGGGCCTTCAGTGGCCTGGGGATGCCATCTTCCCCAGAGGCTCGAATATTTCCAGGGAAGGCTATTGAGAGTGTGTGTGTATGTGTGCGTGTGTCTGTACATGATTGGCTCTCGCTAGGATCTTGTAGGTTTCTAGAAGCTTCCGACACATGTTATGCCCACAAATCGCGATCAACATGATCTAGCGCCTCATCATTATCCTCCTGTTCATTCTTCGTTCCGTCCTCATCGTCGTCATCATCATCATCATCAGCATCAGCATCAGCATCATCATCATCATCATCATCATCATCATCATCATCATCAGCATCATCATCTCATCATCATCATCATCATCATCATATTGGGTAGCTCCGCGGACCAGCGCCGCCGTTGCGGCCAGCACAGACATAGTGTCAGGACGGTTGGATTCGCGACGCTTGCAGCAACTCGTGGGCTAACCCACCGAAGTTTTCGGGGACCTTGAGGGACGGTGCGAAACCTCACAGAATCCACCGAAGGCCCCAATGGCAGGGTTCGCGTGACGCCACCGCGCCCATGCTGGCACACCCCTCACACGTTTCGTGGCCCCACGGGGAGCTCCCACCGAAGGCCCCAGTGGCAGGGTTCGCATGGCGCCACCGCACCGACTTCGGCACGCCATACACGCGTTCCGTGGACAAATAGGGAGCTCCACCGAAGGCGGTGCTCACAACTGCGGTGCTCACAACTTCATATGCTTGATTCCTTCGCCAGGATAATTCAGCATCCTGTGTCATCGTGCGGAAAAATAGCAAGCAAGAAAGAAAGCAATGCGCGGGGAAAGGACGTCCGAGCGATGGCCCGGAACGGGTCGGCAGCTTCGCGTGCGTTTTCGAGGGCGGGGATCAGTCAGGATTGAGTGATGCGCGCGTGTCGCGCGGTGTCAGAGCGGTTCACGCTTGGAATCCGCCTTCCTCCTCTCGGGGTTTTCGGCACGTGAGCATCGGCTTCCAAACTGCCCGTTCATCGCCGATCGGGGCCTGGGCGTCCCAGTCTGTCCAGGATAAAATGCGGTTTCGCTATCGAGAGCCTGTCTCCGCTGTATGAGCGATTCCAGCTCCATGGTTCCCCTCTGCGCCAGCTATGCCCCTGCTGACGCATTCTCTCGAATATCGCTGATTGGGTATCTACGTCAGCCACCCCGATCCGAATCGATGCGGATATTCCAGCGATCCGATATGGGCGATGCTCGCACGGCGTCCACGTGCGTCCGGGCATGGTCGGCCTCGGTGTCCCGATCGTCGCCCCCCCCCCCCCGCCTCTTCTATACCTTGG